GGGCTTCCATGTGTATTTTGAGGGGCCACTGGGGATTTGAGTCGAAGGTGGAGCCAGAAGGCTGGCAGGGGTTGTTCTGCTGGTCGCTCAGGATAGATGCAGCCGGCAGCCTTGCTGTGTGGCCCAGACTGGCCTTGAACTCGCAGCGAACCTCCTGCCTCAGCCTCCCCAGTGCTGGGATGACAGGCGAGCCGGCTGCCTGGACACGGCGATGTCCTCGCCATCATCTTTGTACGTGGCTTTGTATTCCAAGTCCCAGCGCTGCCGTGTGGTTGAAAAGGGATCTGTGGAACGAGTGGTTAGACAGACGATCGATCGGCCTGTACCTGCGGAGAGCGCCGTGACCCAGCGCGCTGCAGTTCTGAGAAACCCGGGTGGCCTTGGCCCCTGAGGCGGCGCCGGCTTGGAGCAGCTGCTGCCGGTCCTGCTCTGTTGGGTGGGCGTGGGCGGCGTGGGCCGCGCGGGTGGAGCTCCGGGCCTCCCGCGGTCCCCAGTGTCCGGGGCCTCCCCGTGCCCCGCCCCGCTGTTAGGCCGCCAGCTCCGCGGGGGCGTTGGGCGCACCCCGCGTCCCGGCCCAGATCAAAGAAGGCACGGGAGGAGGAGGCCGGGCTTCCCGCGCTCCGGGCTGCGGCTCGAGCTGTTTTGGGGGCTGCCCGCCCCGCCCCGCCCCGCCCGGCCCGGGCCCGGCCCGGCCCAGCCCTCGCTCCCCGGAAGGTACCGAGTGGTCGCGGGCGCCGCACCGCCGGGCTGCGCACTTCTGCGGCTCGGGGCTCCTGCCGCCCGCAGCCGGGGCGGAACAAGCGCAGCAGTCGCCGCGCGGGCCTTTCCCGAGGGCTGGGCCGCCTGCCCCGGTGGCTCCCGCGCGGTCTGAGGGCGTCTGGAGGGCGCTGCACCCGGGGGCGCCGCGCACGGAGGGCTGGCGGGGCGGAGGCTGCACGGACGGGCAGGTCTGCGAGTCCATGCAGCCGTCTCTCAGTGCAACTTCGCAGCGGCTTTGTGGCGACGTCTGCAGACACCGCCGTGACGCGCGGCCGCCCAAGCTTGGAGCCGGGCCTGTGGGTTGGCCAGAGCCCCCGACCCCACGCGCACCTGCGGGCCGGGACCCTCCCCTCCGTCGGGATGCACTTCCCGCCCGGCCTCGGAGCGGGAGGAAGCCGCCCCTCCCTCGGGCTCAGTGCCCTTATGGCCGCGTCGTACAATCGGTGCCTCCCACGGGAGCAGCGTGGGTGCAGGGCAGGCTGCAGCTCCGATTGCTGTGCGCCGTTTCGGCTTTTCACAGCTTTGGACTCGGCAGAAAGAAACCCCGGACCTGGGGACATATCCGCCTCTAGGGGGGCTGGAAGAGGGACAGCATGGGTGGGGTGATGGAGTTTGGGGCGCTGCGGGGAGACTCTGGGCAGGGCTGTGTCACCAGGGCTGGCCGGGGAAGTGTCTGCGTCCTTAGCCACTGGCCCGCAGGCCCAGGAGTAGGGCAGGGAGGAGGACCGGAGGCCGTGGGCGGGGTGCCTCCCTCCCGCCGGACGGGGGCAGGCTCCGCCTCCTTTCCCCTCCTTCACCGGGCCCTGGGGATCCCAGCAGAGGTCGCCAGGAGTGGGGGATGTCGGAGCCCCCAGGGGCCTGGACTTCCCACCATTCACAGCCCGAGGCCGCCTGGGCTTCTGCTGTTCCCTGCTGTCATCCCAGCAATTGGGAGGCTGAGGCAGGAGGATCGCTGTGAGTTCAAGGCCAGCCAGGTCTACAGGGTGAGCTCCATGCCAGTCTGGACTGCAGAGTGAGACCCTGTCTCAAAAATCCCCCGATATAAGTTTATTTTATTAGTCCATGGTTGCAGTGCGTCATGGCTGCTTTCATTGCAGGGAGTTAGCGCCTGCACACAGCGCATCTCAGTTCTTTCTCCTCCCCTCTCCTCCCCCCTCCCTGCTTCTCTTGGTGCCCTTCCCTTTGCAAAAGATCCATCTTCTGATTTCCTGTGATCTGTCTTTTATTTTACTCTTTATTTATACTTTGGGTTACTTATATAAAAGGAATCACACAATATTTAAGCTTGTGTGTCTGATTTATTTCGCTTAACATTACAGCCTCAAGGTGCATCCATTTTGCTACAAACAACTCAAGCCTATCTTTCTTTATGGCAGTGTAGTACTCCACCGAGTGTAAACACCACATTTTCTTTATCCATTTGTCTGCTGATGGACACAAGTGGCTTCCAAGATTTAGCTGCAGTACTGTGAATTGTGCTGCTATAAGCACGGTGTGCACAGATCGCTCTGACCCGATGTCTTTAACTCTGAGACAGAACCTCCCCTCAGCACGTGGTGCCCTGGAAGCTGCGTTCTGTTCTGTCCCCACCCCCAGGGGTGATCATGCTGTGTCCCTGCGCGTTCCCTGGGTGTTGCCTGCAGCCTCTCTGTCCTGCCCCCCCCCCCCCGCATTCCGTCTCACTCCCTCTTCTGCACGGATCCTGTTAGTGTTAGAAGCCAGGGGCTCCCACCTGACCCAGCTGTCCCCTCCTGGGTCCCAGTGGAAGTGACTGGCTGGCAGAGGTGACACCCTGGCCATCTCTGGGGGCCCTAGGTGACACCTCAGATGTGCTCACCTGGGCTCCTGGGCTCTGTGCTGTGGATCTAACGGTTTGTTTTGATTTTTTTTTTTCAGTACCGGAGATCAAACTTGGATCCTTGTGCTTGCAAGTGTTTTGATTTTTTGAGACAGGGACTCACTGTAGCCCAGGCTGGCCTTGAACTCACTCTGTAGCCCATGCTGTCTTTAAACTCATGGCGATCTTCCTGCCTCAGCCTCCCAGTGCTGGGATGACAGGTGTGGGCCACCACGCCAGCTTCCCTTGGGTTTTTCAGCTTCAGTGTTTGACCGGGAGCTAGGCTCTTCTCAGTCCGCGTCTTTAGTTCCCCAAGGGTCAAGCTTAGGGTTCCAGAGGCCACAGGGCACACAGGTGTGACTCCGCCCAGGCCTGCCAGGGTCCCTGGTCCTGAGCGCCCTCACCTGGCAGGTGCGGTGGTGGCCTGGCCCCGTGTCAGGCAGCGCTGCCTGGCTCGGGCGAGGCTCCCGCACTCTTTGGTGGTGATGGATGATCCAGAAGTAACTAAGGGCAGCCCGGGAAGACCAGGACGCTTGTTCTCCATTAGCGTGTGACTGTTGTGTGACTCCAGAGATGCCCTTAGGTGCGGAGTGCTGGGCTCTTCCTTACTGCTGTTTGCTTGCTGACATTAAAGCTTTGTGGGAACACATGCCTGTGATCCCAGCACTCCAGGAGGCTCAGGCAGGAGGATGGCAAGTTGGAGCCCGGCCTGGGCAACTCAGTGACTTCCCAAGAGTCTGTCTCAAAATTTAAAAACGAAAGGTCTGGGGCTGCAGATTGGCAGGAAAGCACTGGATTCAATTCCCATTCCCACAAACAAATGTATAAACAAGGAAAGCAAAACAAAATGCTTTGATGTTTGCTTAAGGTTGCAGGAGATTTCAATTTTTTCTGAGTTTGAAAACTTTCCTCTTTTATTCTTTTTGCTTGAGGTACCGCACCCCTGCAACCCCCACTCTCCTTCCCTCTTCTGTTTCTTTTCTTTTCTTTTTTTGTTTTGAGACAGAGTCTTACTATGTAGCTCAGGTTGGCCTCAAGCTTACAGCGATCCTCCTGCCTCGGCCTCCCCAGTGCTGGGATTACAGGAGTGTACCACCATGCCTGACCTGTTTCCATTTCTATTCCTTCTCTGAGGATTTATACCTCCTGTATTGGAACTGATCATCAATAACTCAGGAACCACAAACCTTTCATAGGCAGCCATCAAGAAAGCAAGCAGAACCTGGCTGGTGTGGATATCTGTAATCCCAGCACTCTGGGAGGCTGAGGCAGGAGGGTTGCAACTTTGAGCACCTAGTCTGGGCAATTTAGCAATTTATCAAGACTCTGTCTCAAAATATAAAATGGAAAAAGGGCTGCAGATACAGCTCCGTGCAAGGTCCTGTGTTCAATCCCCAGTTCTGCCACAGGAAATAACATGCAGACAGAGAGGGCCTCCTGGGGGCCGCTGTCGGCGTGGGGCTCGGACCTCTCCCCTGCGCCACACTTGCTCTTTGTTGGTGGGTCCCTGCCCGGTCCTCGGACAGCTCCTTTCCGTGGTTCGAGCAGAGCCCGGGAGGGACCCCCACAGGTGGGAGTTAGGGCCACAGCCCAGGCGCGGTTAATTATTTCCACTGGGTCTTAGGAGGGCAGCGAAGCCCCGACCACACCAGCGCCTGGCCCCTTCCCAAGTGAAGCCGCCGCTGCCACGGGCACACGGGGACTTCTTGGGGCTGCTGGGCCACCAACAAAGCCAGGAGAGCGGACGTGGCTGCTTCTGTCCTGAGTCTCGGTGACGGTGACATTTGCCAGGCGGTGAAACCTGACGCCTAACTTGTGTGTGCTGCGCTTGTGGAGAGGGCAGGGATGGGTTCAGCATGGCATCTTGTGCTACTTCATGTCAGACTGACCTTGAAAGTCAAGTGTGCACACTCGGGAGGCTGAGGCAGCAAGATTGCCGTAAGTCAAGGCCAGCCTGGACTACAGAGTGAGCTTAAGGCCAGCCTGGACTGCACAGCGAGACCCTGTCGCAAACAAACAAACAAACAAACAAGTCAAGGGCACAGCACACAAGAAGCACTCCGGGGTGCGGAAGAATCTGATCCTCTACCGTTTCCTTTCATCCCCTGAAGAGAGTTTGCGCATTTCTGTTCGCATATCTGTAGTGTTTTTGTAAAACTCCATTAGGAATCTGTCAAAAATGAAGCATCAATATGTTTAAAAAGCAGTTCCGAGCCGAGCATGATGGTGCAGGCCTGCAATCCCACCACTCTAGGGCGCTGAGGCAGGAGGATTGTAAATTTGAACCCAGGCTGGGCAATTTAGCAAGACCTTATCTCAAAATGAAATTTAAAACATTTACAAAAGAGGGGGCTGGGGATTTAGTTCAGTGGTTCTACCGCCTGCCTTGCAAGGGCAAGGTCCTGAGTTTGATCCCCAGTATCAAAAAAAAAGAAAAAAAAAGAGGGACGATGAAAGTGTACAGTGGACTGTATCAAAGCTGAGTAGTGGTGTGCACCTGTCTCCGCAAGACTCGGTCTCAAGACAAAACAAAACAAAAAATTGATTGTATGATGGTTGTTCAATGCTGTGAAAATCCCCCAAACCACTGAGTTGTATACTTGTTACAATTATCTTTCAATTAGGATGCTACAGAAAAAAAAAAAGGAAGCCTTTACCTCGGGGGTGGACTCAGGATTTTCCTCCGGTCTTTTGTAATCTGGGTTTTGCAGATGTAACTGAATCACCCGAGCGGCAGGGGGAAGATCTGACCAGCTAAGCACAGTCTAAGGGGAGAGAGCTAAGGCTCAGCAGGTCGTGGGAAGGGAAGGCATTGTCTGGGGCTTCGGGGACAGGTTCTCATCGGGGGCGAAGCGGGGAGCAATTTCAGGGCAGGACTGTGCCGGGCTCGGTGGGCCAGGCGGCGCTGGCTGGCGGGGCTGTTACTTTATACAACTTCCTGCAATCCCGCAGAGCCGCCTCTCCGCCTTCTCCCCCTCCCGGCCGGCCGCGGGCTCTGCAGGACTCGGCTGCTCGCGGGCCTGAGATGCAGCTGTGACCCGAGATGGGGAACTCGTACTCGGGCCACCTGAAGAGCACGCGCTTCGAGGAGGTGCTGCACAACTCCATCGAGGCCTCGCTGCGCTCCAACACCCTCGTGCCGCGGCCCGTCTTCTCCCAGCTCTACTTGGAAGCCGAGCAGCAGCTGTCCTCGCTGGAAGGTAGGAGACGCCTGTGTTTGTTGGGCTTTCCCTGTGTGCGGTTGGCTGGGAGTGTGGAGCCCAGGAGAAAAGAATCGTGAGCAAAACTTGCACACAAGTTCTCTCTTGGCCGAAAGGAAGGAAGTTTTAGCCAACAAAGTGCAAGACATAAAATTGGGAGGAACCGGGAAAGAAAGAGGACTCCGCTCAGCTGCCCTGGGTGGTCTTTCCTGATACTCTCTCATGGGAAGGCTTTGAGTAAGAATTTTTAACACACCTTTGACCCTCTCTGTCTATCTGTTCTCTCTGTCCTGTGATTTGGGGCTGTATTTTTGCAAAGATGTCCAGGTAATTTCTTAGGATAGCAGCTACGAGAACACTTTAGAGACTTTTAAGAACTGGGAGCAAATTTATCATGTGCCAAGAATAAATAAATAATCCTCAGGCTCGGGATGGCTTACTTTAGGATTTACCTGAGTATCTAGAGAATCAAGCAGTTGCAGTTTCTTTTCTTTTTTTCGGTACTGGGGATCAAACTCAAGACCTTGCACTTGCAAGGCAGTCACAGTGCCACTGAGCTAAATCCTCAGCCCTGGAGTTTCTAGTAGCTGTGTATTTCTATGTCAGTAGTAAGCCCACAACAACCTATAATATGAGACAGCTGCAGTTTTAGTATTTCTTTTTGGAAGCTTATGCTTTATTCATTTTTGAGGCAGGATCTTGCTATGCAGTTTAGCCTGGACTTAAACTCACTATGGAGCCCAGGCTTGCCTCAAACTCACAGCAATCTTCTTTCTGACTGTTCTGTGTCCTAGCAGGGATGCCTCCCCTGCCTCCCTTTAAAATGTCCTCACCAGCAGGCAGGGTGGCACATGCCTGTAGTCCCAGCACTCTGGGAGGCTGAAGCAGGAGGTTGCAAGTTGGAGTTCAGCCTGGGCAGTTAACAATTTAGCGAGATCCTGTCTCAAAATACAAAATTAAAAAGGGGGGGTTAGGGATGTTGCTCTGTATGGAGACACTGGGTTCAATCCTCAGTACTGCAAAAACAAACAAAACCCAAACAAACAAAGTCCTTATTAAATTAACTTTGCAGATGGCACAGCTAAGGACCCAACAGAGCTGGATCTGGGTCTAGGAACACACTGCATTCTGGACCAAACTACAAATTAGGAAAACCAAAAATTCTCTGGTATTCACGCAGAAAATACCACAAGAAATATCACCTCAACATCTCGGGGGAGTTCAGAAATCCTTAGCAAAAACTTTAGAGACTGCCTTTTTGGGCAGCTGACTTTTGGGAAATACTGAATTCTGTGGTCTGATTCAACTGTTTGCTTGCTTCCCTCCTTCCTTCCTTCCTTCCTTCCTTCCTTCCTTCTTTGCTTTGCTAAATGTCCCCATAAATCCATGGCCCATCTGTCTGTCTGTCTCCTCCCCATCACCTCTTCCTTCTCTCCTCCCCAGCTCTTCCCAGGCAGCTGGATTGCAGATGATTTTTATGGCCAGGGCGCTGGGGGATTGAGCACCCTTGGGACCCGGTAGCGTGTTGCGTATCTGTGTGGGAGACTCAGCAGGGGTCTGAGTATTTTGTTCTTTGAATTAGGACTCTTACCCACCACCTCCTTCCCAGGCAGAAAAACCTTTTTACGCATTGCTGACTTTTTCAAGAGGAAGGCCCACCACACCAGGGCACCCGCCCTGTGGGCTGAGCGTTTATCAATTAAACTCCTGACAGCTATCAGCCCTGTCTCCCCTTTCTTTTCTTGGAAGGAAACAACTGAACGTAAACCCTGGAGCCCCTGCTCTGGATCCTGGGTCTTGGGCTCCTGGGTTTCCTGTCACTACCCTGACCCCTGAGCCCTCCGGCTTTGTCTGCCAGCCCCCTAAGGCCACACCCCGTGGGGACCTCGATCCACACCGTGTCTGGTTGTCTGCTCGGCGTCGAGACAGTGCTGGGGCAGCCACCGATCCCATCAAAGGCCCTGGAATGTCCGGGGCAGACCTCTGACCTTTAGTCCTGCTTCTAGCCGCTGGACTGGAAGCTCTTTGACTCGCTGGGGCTAAAATCCTCCTGGCTCATTCTTTCCCAGAGTCCAAATTCCTCTCCTCTGCAGCTGCAGAACAATGCACAGCTGTTCAGTTCCCGCACCCTCATCCCAGCCCTGGCTGTGGGGCTGCTGTTTCTCCTCTGGGATTTTCTCTCCCTTGTCTACTCCAGTAGGAGATACTCATGATGCAATGTGACTCCCTGGAGGTGCTGGAGGATTGGCTCAGAGACACATGGCAGCTTTGGAGACAGAGTATTATTATTATTGTTGAGACAGGGTCTCACTGTGTAGCCCAGGCTGTCCTCGAACTCACAGCAATCCTCCTGCCTCAGCCTCCTGAGCTCTGGGATTACAGGTGTGCTCCACTGTGCTCAGCCCCAAGGGCACCTTTAACCTGGTGGGGACGTGCAGGTTATATGCCTGGGGCCTGTGCTTAAATCACCTCTGGAAATTCTGCACCAGCTCTGAGGCCCTTTTCTGTCAGGCCCTGTCAGAACTCTAGGTGGCCTCCAGGCCCAGCTGGGCCCACTTCATTTCCTGAGCTCTGTGTCTGCATGGGGCGTTTGCTGGGTGCCTGGGTATAGGGACCGGGGGTGGGGGGAGACCTGTATCCTCCAGGCACATGGGGATGCCCCAGGGGGCCCAGGTCACAGCAGGGGTGGAGCAGAGGCCAGGCAGTAGTGGGATTTCCGTGGCCAATTCCAGGCTCTTCTGGCCCTGTCTACCTTTCCCATTCTTCCCAACACACTGCTCCCCTTAAATAGTTTCTGAAAGCCACAGAGCAATAGGCCCTGTTCTAGAATGTTCTGGAACCTTCTGGAGTCCTCTGGAGTGTTCTGGAATGGCTATTTTTTGTGTACATATGTGTGAGATACTTAGGAGTGGTGATTATTTAGAGCAATGTTTAGATGCAGCTTTCCCTTGAAGATAAATAGCAATGTAGAGTTTAACAGATGCCTTGTGCCCCATTAAGGCAGTTCATGCTACTGATATTTTGTGTTCTGAACAAAGTAGCATACGTAGTTCAGTGGGGAGAATTCCAGCATGGGTGTCAGGCACGGCTGGGGACATCAGGCTCTGATGCTTAGCTCTTAAACTGCTGTGGGTCACTCTCTGGGCCTCTCTGACCCGCAGAGTCTGTGAAATGTCTACAGACACCATCGTACCTCACGCACACTTTTATTTTTAGATATTAAAAGCTGCATCCAGGGCTTCCCACTGAGCTACATCTCCAGCCCTTTACACATTTTAAAATTTTGAGACAAAGGATAGCTACTTCACTAAGTTGCCCAGGAACCTTGAACCTGCCTTCCTCCTGAGGCCTGCTAGATGGCAGGGTGCTCCTGGGGTCTAGTCCCTGGGGTCCTGGGCCCCAGGATTGTCAGAGTTTCTGGGGAGAGGACAAGACTCAGGCCCTGGTGGCAGCTGTCTTGTGAATCATTGCTCTTCTTCCCTGTGCCCAGGGGGCACCCGAGCAGACAATGAGGAAGAGGAAGAGGAGGGAGAAGGAGGGCTGGAAACCAATGGACCCGGAAACCCCTATCAGCTGGCTCCTCCTCCTGAAGGGTGCTGTACCACAGACGGTAAGTCTCTACCCGATCCCCTTCTGCAATTTTAATTTTTAATATTTTGAGACTTTGAACTTGTGGCAATCAGCCTGCCTCAGCCTCCCAAGTGCTGGTATTAATGGGCGTGTGTACCATGCCCAGCATCTGGCAGCCCAGCCCAGTGCCCACAGCGGAATCTCCCTCTGGGCCATGGCTGGACCTGCACTGGGTGCCTCAGGCACCCTCCACGCCCGTCTTGTGTTCCGGGCTCCCTCAGGGGGCGCCGTCTAGCGGTGGACACCTGGCCTGGTCCTGGCTCCTCCACCGCTCTTCGGCAGCCTCGGCTTCACAGGTGATTTGAGACCCAAAAATCCGCTTCTGAGTGTCAGTGGTTTGAAATCTAGAATACGCTCCCCTCTCTCCAGATCTGCTTCCACAGCACACTTAATCAGAATTGGTACAAGGGACAGAATTTCACATCTCTCAGTACTTCACTGTGGAATGAACAGAACACGTGGTGGGATTAAAGATATGGTGAATGTTTAAAATAAAATTAAATGAATTTTAAAACATTATTACAATTACTTACTATATACCTAAAGCTTTAAAAAACTAATAAGTAGGAAAAAACCATTATTACAATGTCTTTATGAGGTGTGATCAAAATACAGCGACTTCTGCCAAGTGCTGTCCCACGGAAAGGCAGCCCATAAAACACGATGCTGGGCTGGGGATTTAGCTCAGTGGTTCCACCGCCTGCCTCACTAGCTCACGGACCTGAGTTCGATCCCCGGTACCAAAAAACCAAAACAGAACAAAAAAACACCCATGATGCTTTGTCTTCATCCACCTTAGTCACCGGATCTGGCACTGTGTGACTTCCAGCTCTTCCCCAGAGTCACAATGACGAGGAAAGGGAGACGTTTTGAATCCATCAGGACACGGAGGCAGTCAGGACAGCGTAGCTAAAGACCCTCAGGACAGAGGACTCCAGAGCTGCTGCAGGAAGTGGCGAGGGTGATGGGATGAGTGTGCTCAGAGTGAGGGGAGGATTCTGAGGGATTCCTGGCAATGTGTCCTTTACTGTAACACATTTGTAAAAATGTAGGCCCTGACTATTTCGATCACACCTCATATTATTTAGCTCTTGCTCTGCAGATGTGGAAAGAAATGATACAAGAGCCCCCTGCTGTTCCAGAGCCACATGCTTTGCACCCTCAGAGGGGGGTGCTGGGCTTAGGACAAGCCAGCATGCTCAGAGCGGACGAAAGTTTCCAGACACAGGTTGAGAGTTTCCAGGAGGCTTCCTCCATTGGAGTTTTGCAGAATTTGTAGGAGTTTGCCAGGAAACTTCAATGGAAGAACCAGAACATGGGACATATAGAAGGTGTGATGTTGCCCATCAGGGGAATGTATTGATTAGGTGGTGGCCCGAAGTGTAGCGGAGCGATCAGACTGTGCCGGAGCCATGTGGCCTGCTGGAGGCCTGGACTTGTCCCTGAGCCTGGTGCTTGGCCTCGGGCTGCTGTTGGGGGACAAGGTGGTCCTGGAGGAGACAAAGCAAGCAGGTGCCCGAGGGAGGAGAGGCTGTGAGCTGCTCGGGGTCCCCAGGGAGGCTGTGTCCTTGCCCTGGGGGGCTGGGTAGACAGCGCCTGCTGTTGGTCCTGCATCCTCATCCGGCCAGATCCCGGAGGGCAGGGGCAGGTAGAGCTGGGCCCTTTCCCTCTCCTACCTTGTGGAAACCCAAGTATTTTGAACCCAAAATATATTTAAAAGGTTCTGAAGGTATAGAGGGCCGGGAATGGTAGTGCATGCCTATAATTATTATGCTCTGGGAGGCTGAGGCAGGAGGATCGTACGTTTCAGCCCAGTCTGGGTAACTTAGTGACTTAACTAGACCTTGTCTTAAAATAAAATAAATAAAAAAGAGCCAGGGATGGAGCTCAGTGAGAGGTCCTGAGTTCAGTTCCCAGTATGAAACAAAACAACAACAAGGGGGAGAGAGGACAAGCCCTCTATGCGCACGCCTTTTCTGTGTATGTGAAATGCAACATAAAAAAATGTGAAATCACTCCCAATTTCTTTCTTTTCTTTTTTTTTTGTTTTGGTACCAGGGATTGAACTCAGGACCTCACGCTTGTGAGGCAGGTGGCAGAACCACTGAGCTAAATCCCCAGGCCCCACTCCCAGTTTCTTATGGGTTTATCTCATCTACATTTGAAAAAAAAAACTTTCTGTTTTTGTTTTTTGGCAGAGTCTCTATAGCCTGGGCCTGCCTCAAACTCACAGTGATCCTCCTGCCTCAAGCCTCCCTAGTGCTAGGTTTACTGGGGTGCACCACCACACCTGGCTGGTCTACATTTTTTTTGTTTTTTTGTTTTTTTTGAGGCAGGATCTTAGTTTGTAGTTCAGGCTGGCCCGGAACTCGGGGTGATCCTCCTGCCTTAGCTTCCCGAGGGCTGAATTACAGGCATGCACCACCACACCCGGCTCTGGTCTACATTTTCATTTGTCATCATTTGTGTATATGTCTTTCCTGTTAAGCTTCAGTTGCACGTTAATGTGTATTAAGCAGCAGTACCGATAGGTAATTTCCGTGATTGGTGTCATAACTAGTTAGGATTTCTTAGTATTTCTATCTGTCCATGTTCACACTCCTCCTGGGCCTTGGTGCATGCACGTAACGCATCTGAACTCTTCTTACTCCCTCCTTCCCCTCCCCCTGCCCCGTCACTTGGTCCTCTTCCCATTTTCGAAAGGTCTATCTCCCCGTTTCCTATGATCTCTCTTTTATTTTGCTCTTTAAATTATTTAGACTCGGGTCTCTCATATAAGAGAAACCATGTGATATTTAAACGTGTGTGTCTGATTTACTTCACTTAACACTGTAGTCTCAAGGTGTATCCATTTTCCTACCAACAACTTAAGCTTATCCTTCTTCAGGGCAGAGTAGTGCTCCACACAGCTGTGACTTTATCTCTCAGAATTAATTAATTTTGTACCCTAACCCAGAGTAAGGGCTACTCCTGTGTTTGCCGTGGGAACCCTGATTCCTAGGCATCCCAGGCAGCGTGTGACCTTGCTGTCCCTACCAGGGTTCTGCCAGGCCGGGAAGGACCTGCGCCTCGTGTCCATCTGCAGTGAGCCCTTGGAGGTCCCTGCGGGCTTCTTGCTGGTGGGCGCCAAGTCCCCTGGCCTGCCTGGCCACCTGCTTGTGTGTGCTGTGGACCAGCGCTTCCTGCCGGATGACAGTGGCCACAACGCCCTGCTCGGTGAGTGCCCCCTTTCAGGGACCAGGGCAGCGGCGAGGTGCTCGGGTGCCACAAAGACTTATCAAGGCCTGAACAAGAAGAGGGAAGAGTTGGCTTAGATCGGAGTACACTGCCAAGGTGGGGAGTGGGTGATGCCCAAGACAGGAGTCTTGCGGCCAGGGTGAGAGGTTGGAGTTTATTAAGGTATTGAAAGCCCAGCATGGTGGTGCATGCCTATAATCCCAGCACTTGGGAGGCTGAGGCAGGAGGATCGCCAAGAGTTTGAGACCAGCCTGGGCTGCATAATGAGACGTGGGCTGGGTCAGTAAATATAGATATCTCGGAAATGTGCTTTCTGGGGCACCCTGTTCCTCGTTAATCTTCCAGGAACATCTGCACTGTGTCTAGATTCATACGTCAGTGTTCTGAATTCACAAGGTCGTTTGCCCTGGCCTCACAGAAGGCCCCTTCTCATGGAGAGAAACACTCATCTTTATCTCCTGCTGTTCAGGCAGCACTTGGGTAGGATTTCTCGAGTGTGCAGGGCCAGGATTGGGGGATTTAATTCTTTTGTTGCTTGGAAGTGGGAGTTAAAACCTGACCGCCTTCCTGTAACAGCCACCATTCCAGCATCCAGGTTTTCATGTGTGTGTCACATACCTTCCTTCCCAAGTGGCCCCCTATGTGACGAATGGGTCACCTGTCTGGCTTTGAACTCGAGGTGATCCTCCTGCCTCAGCCTCCCGAGTGCTGGGATTACAGGAGTGTGCCACTGTACCTGGCTGTTTTTTTAATTCTTTACTTTTGAGACAGGGTCTCGCTAAGTCACTAAGTTGGCCAGGATGTGCTTGAAGTTGCGATCCTCCTGCCTCAGCCTCCCAGAATGCTGGGATGACAGACATGCACCACCAGGCCTAGCTATTTCTGCCCTCAATCGCTGTACTACAAGGGCCTGTGTCGTGGTCAAGGTCAGGAGCTGTGGATTTCCCTCTGGCTGTTGACACCCCTAGCTTTTGATTTGTGAACAATCACATGTTGGGTGTGCTGCCCCAATATTGGGGTCATCCTGAGCTTGGACTGAACGCCCAGAGCTCTGGGTTCTGCTGCTGCGCCTGACCCCGGGTCTCCGGGTGGCCCGTGGGCCGTGGGCTGCCATCTGGAAGCGGAAGCTGACTGCATGTGTGCACCCAGCCTGGTGGCTCTGGGTCCGTCCCCTCATCCTGGCTGGGGAGGGTGGAAAACGACCCACCATCCCTGGAACCGCCCAAGTCCGACTGAGGGACGCTGGGGATGAATCTGGGTTCAAACCCTCGCGGCCTCTTGTGTCTTTCCCACTTGCACCAGTGCTTTGAGACTCCAGTTTGGTGCTGCACTGGCCCCCAGCCGGGCGGCACTCTACCCGGTGGCGTTTGTTTATCAGGCGCCTTTGATGTCGCTGGTGTGCAGGAGGGCAGGGAGGCAGGAGGGAGACGTGGGCGGTGCCCTCGGCAGGTGCCTGGCGCCCATGGTGTGTTGGGGTCTGACCGGATCCTGCACTCTGGGAGGAGCGGGAGCTCCGGGGCCATAAACGAGTAAATCAGGGCGGTCCTGGCTCTGGATGGCGGCCGTGTCCGACCCCTTCCCCGGCGGCCCCTGGGTGGGCGCTGGGCCAGCAGCAGGAAGCGGGGCTTTGTTAACTGCTCGCCAAGAGCCCTCCTCGGCCGGGGGTGATGACCGCCTTCTTCTTTGAAAGCAGTTTCCACGCCCGGCTTGTGCGCCTGGCCGTATTTAGGTTTCCTGTAGTTAAACCCGCAGGCTTTGGGACCAGGTGGTCGGAGCCCGGAGGGGCTTTAGTGACCTATAAAGCGGGCGGTGCAGTGTCCTGTTTCAGTGACAGAATCCACTCTGTTCCGGGAAGCCGGGAAGACATAGCCTAGATGTGCATCACGGTTTCGCAAGGAAATCCCCCAAACTGGCTTGGATGTCAGAGACGGAAACACAGGGGCGGCTGAAAGATGCCTTGAATGGTTAATTAAGAAAAACTGATTCCACTGAGACACGTTGCCAAGGACGACGGGATGAGTGCGTTGGGAGCGAGGGGGAGGATTTTGGGAGCAATTCATGGCGATGTGGCTTTTACTGTCATAAAATTTAAAAAATATAGACATTTGTTGTACTTTTGGGTCACATCTCCTATCTTGCCGGAATGTTCATTTCTTTTCTTTTTTTTTTGGTACTGGGGATCAAACTCGGGTCCTTGCGCTTGCGCAGCAGGTGGTGAAACCACTGAGCTAAATCCCCAGCCTGGGAATGTTCATTTCTTAGGAGTGATCGAGTCCTTTGTTCACTTAGCAAGCGAACAGTTAAGGCAGCGTTTAGGGACCATGGGACCTCAGAGGCTGGACATTCAGCTGTACCCCTGCTCTGCCCTGAACCCTGGGACCAGGAGATACAGGCAAATACAATCAGTAATTTCCCTGTCCATAAATCTTCCAACCCAGGCCTGTTACAGTAGTGCTTACCTGAAACCCCAGTATTTAGAAAGGCTGAGGCAGGAGACTCACAAGTATGAGTCCCGCCTAGGTAACTTAGGGAGACCTTGCCCCAAAATAAGAAGAAATTTTAAAAGGTGGCTGGTGGAGCTCCCTAGGGTTGAGGTGCAAAATAAATTTAAAAATTGTTCAAGTAGCCAGGGATTTAGCTCAGTGGTTCCGGCGCCTGCCTTGGAAGTGCAAGGTCCCGAGTTTGATCCCCAGTACAAAAAAAAAAAAATTGTTCAAGTAATTCCTTGGAGGCACCCTCTCTCACAGAAGACTCCAGGTGTGGGAGGCCACTGGAGCAGGCAGGATTTGAGCTGAAAAATGGGTGAGATTTTGCCAGCGGGCGAATATCATCAGAGGCAGCTAAACAGTAGTCAAGGCTGGTGTTTATTGAGCATTTATCATGTGCCAGAGATTGTTCTAAGTTAAAATAACCAGCGAGGTGCATACACTGCAATCTGGGAATTATCTAGGCAGCAGTGAAGACACAGAAAGGTTCACAGACTCACTGGGGTCACTCAGGAGGCGGCTGCCAGACTGAACTTGAACCTGGTGGTGCAGGGCTGGCGGCCACACCTCGGGAGGCAGGGCACCTTGGGCAGAGGCCCGGGACAAAGGTGCTGCACAGAGGTTGGGCTGCCCGTGGTGGGAGTTTTGAGGTGGGGGCAGGACGAGCCAAAACTGGGGCTGTGAGAGGGCCCTGGGGAGGACGGAGTGGCCCCGGCCGGCCTGTCTTGATTTGTGTTGTCCTCTTCTCCCCGAGAGGGTTTTCCAAAAGCAAATTCCAGACCTTGTGTCATCTTGTGTGTAAATATTCCAGGCGTGTCTGTCTCTAAAGGACAGGGGCTTTTTGTCTGGCTGTAAAGGACAAAGCGCTACTGTCCTGGCTCAAAACTTCGATGGCGTTCTTCAATGTGCCCAAAGATCCAACATGTTCAAATTTTATCTTACCTTTCTTTCTTTTTATAACAGCTGGGGTTTTTTTTTGGTACTGGAGATCGAACTTGGGACCTTGCACCTGCAAAGCAGGCTCCTAAACTACTGAGCTAAATCCCCGGGTGACAGTTGGTTTTTTAAAAACTCAGGACCTAAGGACCGGGGATTTAGCTCAGTGATGCTGCTCCTGCCTTGCAAGCGCAAGGTCCTGAGTTCGATCCCTGGTACCAGAAAAAAAAAAAATCAAGACCTGGATAAGTTTTTCTTAAACCAATTGGTTGCTTCATCTTAAGTTGTTTTTTTAAATAAAGGTCCCTTTTCCTTATTTTTCCTTATTTAATTTATATTTTTAAGAAACACTGAAGGTGTTAAAGTAAAGTACCATGTTTTGTGTTTTAGAAAGCTCTCAGTTATTGTACACATAATTGTTTTTGTTTGTTTGTTTGTTTTTGCAGTACTGGGGTTGAACTTAGGGCCTTTGCACTGAGTTGCATCCCCCGCCCTTTTTTATTTTTTTATTTTGAGACAGGAGCTCACTAAGTTGCTAATTTGCCCACGCTGAGCTCAAACTTGCAATCCCCGTCTCAGCCTCCCAGCGTGGGCCAGGATGTGCATTTTAAAGAATGCCCCTAAGCAAGTGAAATCTGCCAACCCTGCCTGGCCCCATTTCCAGGGGTGAATCTCCCTGGTGCTCCCGAATCAAGGCCGTCTGAGAGGACGGGCGCTTTGCTGGGTGGCCTTGTCTGGTGCCACTGGGGACAGGCACGCGGGGTCCAGTCGGAGTCCGAAGGGTCTGGGCACTGCGGGAGACCCATGCTCTGCTTCTCCCTAGGTTTCTCCGGGAACTGCGTCGGCTGTGGCAGGAAAGGCTTCTGTTACTTCACCGAGTTCTCCAACCACATCAACCTGAAGCTCAGCACGCAGCCCAAGAAGCAGAAGCTGCTGAAGTATTACCTGGTCCGAGATGCCCACGGCACCCTCACCAAGGGGCCCCTGATCTGCTGGAAAGGCTCCGGTGAGGGGCGGCCCGAGGGAGGGGTGTGGGAGGCGCCCCTGCATGTGCAGTGCCTGTGGGGTGAAGCCGGGAGAGCTGCTGTCTGGTGACGCAGAGAGGAGATCGTCCTTCCGGGCGCAGGCGCTCACTGGGAGGGGATGGAGGTTAAGCGCTGACCACCAGCGAACTGTGCTGCCTCTCCTCCGCGACTGTCTGGAGCAGTGGGGACAGTGTCGATGGTCGTGGCTGAGGGTGCTACTGGCCTCCAGGGGCAGGGGCCAGGGATGTAGTTAAACAACCGCAGGACCCAGCGTGATGTGGTCCCAAACGTCACAGTGTTTAACGGGGCGTGGGGAGTACACGGCTGTCATCCCAGCTCGAGGGAAGCTGAGGCAGGAGGATCGCCACAAGTTCAAGGGCAGCCCTGAAGATCCTGTCTGAAAAATGAACCAAACCAAACCAAAACAACAACAAAACAAACAAACAAAAAACCCCAAGACAAACACACACACACAAAACCCCGCAAAAGGGGCCAGGGATTTAGCTCAGTGGTTCCAGCGCCTATGGAAAGCGCAAGGTCATGAGTTCGATCCCCAGTACCAAAAAAACAAAACAAAACAAAAAATCCCCCCAAAATGTCACATGGAGAAACCCTAACTTTGCAACACGGAGAAACCCTAACTTTGAGACATCTTGGCTTCAACAATGCACCATGACCCTGTGACCTTGAACCCCGATAACTGAGCCCTCAGGGACCAACCCCATCCTACAGGCTGTGTCCCGAGAGGAGCCACCGTGGAGTGGCCTGGAGCAAGGTCCGCTGTCCCTCCAAATCCAGGGTGACACCGGTCATCTGGACTCTGCTGGGTGGGCTCTTCGGGCAGGGGAGGAGGCATGGGGTGGGAGGGTCTGCGTCCTCCCTCTGCCCCCTTCCTCGACCTCCCGTCCCCATCTGTGCCCAGGCCTTGTGGGTGGCGTGGCTCCTCCCTTGTGGGTCTGATTTTCTCCTTTTTTTCTTCTTTGCAGTGCTGGGGGGCTTTCACACTGAGCTCCACTCCCAGCCCTTTTAATTTTTATTTTCAGACAGGGCCTCCCTAAGTTGCTAAATCGCCCAGGCTGGGTTTGAACTTGAGATCCTCCCGCCTCAGCCTCCCTGAGTGCTGGGAATTTGAGTATGCACCCCCATGCCTGGTTGGAATCTTATTTCTAGGGAGCCCGCTCACCTGCGAGAGAAATCCCAGATTGGGAAACCCTTTGGTAGCTGATGGAGCGGAGCACATCGGTGCTCACACTCACCTCTTCCTCCTGCAGAGTTCAGAAGCCGCCAGGCCTCTGCCAATGTGAGCTCCGGTCCTGTCTTCCTGCCACTGGAGGGCTCGGGGCCTCTGGCTGCCTTTTCCGGGGAGCCCGGTGCTCCTGGGCTGAACCCCGGCAACCCAACGGGCGCCCAGCAGGCAGGTGAGGCGGTGGAGAAGCAGTGAGGGCTGAGGGGTGGCTGCAGCAGGCCTGGCTCACTATGAGGCGTGGTGGTGCACACTTGTAATCCCAGCATTCAGGAGGCTGAGGCAGGAGGATTGCTGTGAGTTCCAGGTCAGCCTGGGCTACACAGTGAAATCCTGTCTCAAAAGGAAAAAAAAAAAAAAGCAAAGGGCGGGCCTTGCTTTGCAGTCCAGGCTGCCCTCTAACTCGCAGTGTCCTCCTTCAGGTGGGCCTGGGACCAGCGCCTGGCGTCTCTGCCACCCTGACTGGGTGGGCGCTGCCACTGCTGTCTGAGACCTGCAGTAAACCCCAGGGTCGCCGCCCCTGGTGTGTGACTTGCGGGGAGTCACCTAGGCCCCGACCCCCGCTTCCCGCCCATGGCGTCTGGGACAAGCGCTGTGCCTGGTGCGCGCTCTCCCACGGGTGCTGGGAGAAGGCAGCAGCGCAGGTGCACACGGAGCCGCCCAGCCCGGCTTCGAGCTGCCGCCACCCCGAGTGGGGAGGGCAGTGAGGCCCCGCCCCAACTCGTGGCGGACTGCGGTGTACCTGCCCCTCTCCGGGCCGCCGCCCCCCCAGGAAAGGCCAGGCCGGCGGCAGAGGTTTCCTCCCCAGAGGCCTCGGCCGGGAGCTGAGGCTCAGCTGCAGAGGGGGACAGGGCGCGGCCCTGGGGCGGGGAGCCCCCCACACGTGGTCCCCTCGTCCTCTCCTCACCCAGGGTGTGCTCGCTGGGGCGTGAGCTCTTGCGCGTGCAAGTGCTCCTGTGTGACCACGGGGAGGAGTGTGTGCAGGAGCAGGACTGTGCTTGCCGCGGTGTGTACCCGCCCGCCTGTGTGTGAGCAGAGACATGTATGCGTGCATCAGTGTGTGGGTGCACGTTCATGTATGTGCTGCACAAGTAGGAGTGTGTGCGAGGAGCGTGCACACACGTGCGGGCAGAAGTGTGTACGTACGAGCGGGCGTGTGTGCCCCGTGTTCACACGTGCAGGAGTGTGTACGAAGCAGTGTCGCCCGTGTTAATGCACACTGCACACACAGGAGTGTGCACGTGTGTTCATGTGTGCAGGAGCGTGTGTATGCACGCACATGTGAGTGAAACTGTGCACGTGTGTGTCCTGTGCATGCAGGAGTGTGTATATGTGTGCTTGTGTGTGTGCGTGTGTCTGCAGGTATGAGCAGGAGGTGTGCGCGCGTGCACAGTTGTGTCCACACACGTGTGTGTATGTGTGTGTGTGTGTGTGCGTGCGCCTGGGTCCCGTCCGCTTCCGAGCTCTAGCTCCCCGGGAAAGGAGGAAGCTGTGCGGTGCAGCCCCGGGAGCCCTCCCCTGCCGTCCGCCCAGCCCTCCGGCCTCCTTTCCGCCTTCAGGACCTGCCCCGGCCTCGGATCAGCCTCCGTCCGCAGCAGCCCCCGGGCCTGGCCCGGCCGTCTTCAATGGCAGAGACTCGCCCAGGCGCCAGCAGCTGGTGCGGGGCAGCGCGTCTGGTCCTTTGGCCCGGCCCTCGGCCTTAGGTAAGGGGCAGCCTGGGGTCTCGGGGGCCGGGGCGCCGGGGCTGCCTGATGCCCGCGTGGGAGCCGTCACCAGGGTGAGGAGCAGTGGGAGCCAGTGAGGCATCTCCCAGCGTCAGCAGGGCTGTGGGGCTTGGGGGAACCGAGGAAGAGGGTGGGGGGGCAGTAGCGTGTTGATCGTCAGAGGGCTGCAGCTTCCAGTCCAGGGAAGTGCTGAGGAGGCAGAGGGGAGAGGGAAGAGCAGAACCAGGTGTGCTGCACACACCTAAAATCCCAGCACCATGGGAGGCTGAGGCAGGAGGATCCCAAGTTTGAGCCCAGCCTGGGCAACTTAGCAAGAGCCTGTCTCAAAGTGAAAAATATCACAAGGACTGGGGATGGAGCTCAGTAGGAAGGCCCTGGGTTCGCTGAGACGCTGGAGGAAGACACCTGAGGGCCCCTCGGCCCCCAAGTCCAGCGCTCTGCCTCGGCCATGCACCCCAGAGGTCTCCCTGTCCCCTCCGCACACAGCCAGGCTGCGGTGAGGACCCCAGACACGCCCCGCCCCGGGCAGAGGCCTTCGACGTGGGCGGGCCCGGGGTCCACAGGCAGGGCGGGGCGGGGCTCCGCCTCTGTCTCCACCACCCTGGACAGCTTCCCCGCTCCTTTCCAGACCACCGTCCTGGGCCAAGGGGCGAATGTGAGTTCTCACTGAAGGCCCCCAGGGCGCAGCAGGTCTGCAGTGGAGGCTGTGTCACCCCATAGGGCAGCCCCCGCCCCATCCCTGCCCTTCCCCCTCCAGGCGCTGAGCTCAGGGCAGCCCTGTGGCCAACGACCGGACCGGGCCTCTGCCGGGGGGTGGGGGTGGGGTGGAGACTGAATCCTGTCCACAGTTCTCTCCCTGAGCTGGATCCGGGGGTGCCTGGCCCACACCCCACACGGCAGAGTTCCCAGGGCCTCAGCAGCCCCTTTTTTACATTTTTTATTTTTAGATTTTTAAATTTTCTATTTTTAGTCTCAGGAAGTTGCCCAGCTGGGCTGGCCTCGAACTTGGCAATCCTCCTGCCTCAGCCTGTGAAGGAGCTGGGATCACCATGTGCATCCCCGCAGCCAGCATGTTTTTAGCTTTTCATTCAGTTTGGTTCTGTTTCAGTCGGTCTAAAGAAGGGGGAGGTACTTTGAGGGGAACTCCAGGAGACTCCGAGGCGGCCCTGTCCCTCGGGTACTGGGGCTGAAGGTGGCATTCTCTGTGCCACAGCGGGGGCCGGGAAGGGACAGCAGTCTCTGGCCCCTGCCCCTGCGGGGTCTGTGCGGCTCCTTCTGGGGTCAGACTCCAGGAATCCCTGCTCCAGGGCCCAGTTCTGAGGTATCAGGTGCCAGGTGGCCTGCGTGCCCGGCTGCTGGGCTCCCGGGATGGGGTTGTGTCCACACAGAGAGCTGTAAAAGCCTGCAGGTGAATTTAATGTGACTCAGGCTTGAGGCCCGGGGCTCTGGACAGTGGGGAGGTCAAGAAGCTGTGGGACCAGGGCTTGGTGTCTGGGGTCCCTCATGCATGCTGCCTGGGTCTGGAGCTCACTGTTGTGTGGAGGGAGGGGGCAGCATCGGGTCCAGCTTTCCTTCCTCCTTTTGATCTTAAATGAGCTTCCTAGGCCCAGGGATTTAGCTCAGTGGTTCTGCCGCCTGCCTTGAAAGCGAAAGGCCGGGAGTTTGATTCCCAGTACCAAAAAAAAAGAAATGAGCTTTCCAGGCCAGGGAGGGAGGGAGGGAACAAAGTGGATCAGCACCGCCCCCATTGGTGGAACCCAGGGAGTGCATGGAGCGCTGCGAGGCTGGCAGGAAGCCCACTTCTCCCCAGCTTCCAGGCCAGCTCTGCAAGGTGTGGGGCGAAGCAGGGGTTAGCGTTGGTCACCCGATGAGTGCCGGCCTCTGCCAGTCCTTCACGAAGTGCTTCACTTTGGTCCTCTTTAGTCCCGAATGAACCACTCTCAGAGTAGCTTTTAATTGATTACTTTATTTTGGTCTGGGGATTGAACCCACGGCCTTGGCACTGAGTTACATCCTCAACTCTTTGTTATCTTTTTATTTTGAGACTAAGACACTAAGTTGCCCAGGCTGGGCTCTAACTTGTGATCCTCTTGCCGCAGCTTCCCATCTGAAGAGGCTGAGGGGGAAGGGTTGCCAATTTCAAGGCCAGTCAGCTTGGGCAGCTTAGTGAGACCTTGTCTCAAAAATTTAAAAGTTACATGGGTGTGTGCTATAAAAATCCACTGTAAACTGTGCTCTAAAAAAATGTCAAGTAAGTGTTTTCCAAATTAAGGGGAAATTGTATTGAAGCTCATTCCTAGTTGCAGTCTAATCTGTGGTCTCAATGTTTCTAGGGATCTTGCCGAACTCCGGGCCCCCAAAAAAGCGCCACAAAGGGTGGTCCCCAGAGTCCCCATTGGTGGCAGATGCCGGCTACCCTCAGGGCGGTGTGAACAGAGCTAAGTACGGTGAGTGACCACGGGTGAGGCTCCAAACGTGAGCATCAGTGCTAGTGGTGTGCGGGCGTGAGAGTGAGCTGGCAGGTCTGCGGGTGTGTGGGGAGGCCCAGCTGACAGGCTCAGGGCACAGAGGCCCCTGCCCTCCATCAGCCACTTCACGGAGCTTCGGATGCTGCTGAGCCCCAGAGAGGTCAGGAAGCAGCAATTGGGCAGGATCTTTAGCTGTGCCGACCCGGCTGCCTCGATGTCCTGAATGGATCCAAAATGTGTCCCTGTCGTGGTCATTGTGACTTTGGAGAAGAGCCAGGAGTCACACGGTGCCAGATCAATGACTAAGGTGGATGAGGACACAGCGTTGTGTGTTTACGAGCTGCCTTTCTGCTGGATGGCGCTCGGCAGCAGCAGTCACTGTGTTTGTGATCACAGCTGGTAAAGACCCTCAGGACAGAGGACTCCAGAGCTGCTGCAGGAAGTGGCGAGGACGGTGGGATGAGTGTGTTTGAAGGGAGGAGAGGATTTTGAGGGGATTCATGGCAGTGTGTCTTTTACTGTGATGAATTATTTCATGTCAACATGCGTCCTGTCTTCCGGGCATTCCTTGTGGATTTTGCTAACGGTCTCCTCGTGTTCCTAGAAGGCGTGGGCCTGGCCTGTGTGCCCCAGGCGGGAGTGGTAGGCCCGGCTTCAGTCACTTTTCCTGTTGTGGCCTCCGGAGAGCCTGTGTCTGTTCCTGACAATTTGCTGAAAATTTGCAAAGCCAAGCCGGTGATATTTAAAGGCAAGTTTGGCGGGGCTCCCACCTTGTGGCAGAGGGACAGGCGAGGCACAGGCCACGCTGGGACCGCGTCCCCGTCCGACCCCAAGGTGTCCTGAGCAAGTCCAGGACTGTGGGTGCTGAGGTCACAGCTCGTCCCGCACACGCAGGCCCCTCGCGTGCTCTCCCGCTCTCCTGGCTTCCCTCTCCTTCCCCCTCTTGCTGCTCTTCCCGGAGCTGTGCACCGGGTGTCACTGTTGTCCACAGCCCTAAGCGTCTTCTGAAACCAGACCCGGCCTGATCCAGCCTGGGCTTCGGCTGACCGGTGCCGGGGAGGGAGATCTTTGGCTCAGCGACAGAAGTCCCTTCCCGAGAAGCGGACTGGGCGGGACTCGAGCGGTACAGACCTGGGCGCACATCCGGTCCTTGCCTGTGCCTGTGGGATTATTGAGCGCGTAGCGAGAGCGGACGCCGCCTGGTGGGAAAGGGGAGCAGCTGCCGGCTCTTCATTAAGAAAGGACACACTTCTTTTTATTCCTGAAAATAACAGCAGCAAATCCAAAGAAGCCATTGTGGCGGCTCACGCCTGTCATTCCAGCACTCAGGGAGGCTGAGGCAGGAAGTTGCAAGTTCAAGCGCAGCTTGGGTTACACAGCGATTTAATGAGACCCTGTCTCAAAATAAAAAATAAAAAGGGCTGGGGATGCAGCTCAGGGTGAAGGCTCTGGGGCCAGTCCTCAGTGCCACAAAATAACCAAAAATAAAACAGACACCCTGCTCCCTCCAGAAAACTGCCACCGACGAACACATGGAGGTGGCCCCGAGGGAGTGGGGCTTGGGGGTGGCAGGGCCCAGGCAGGGCTCCCGAGGGGCCCACACGGCCTTGTGCTCTACATCTTTCCTGGGTGGCCACCACCTGTCTGCCCCACAGGCTGAGAGAGCAGAGCCAGGGCAGCTGCCAGGCCCTGGGAGACCAGGGTGGCCCTGACCCTGCTGCCTACATCCGGAGCTGCTCCAAGGCACCATCCTTGTCTCCCTTTTGTGTGGCTCCTGTCGCAGGGCCCTGAGTGTCCTTTATGAAAATTGTCCTTTTGAGGCAGGATCTCACTACGTAGTCAGGCTGGCCTTGAGCTCACTAGGTAGCTCAGGCTGGGGTCAAACTCATGGAGATCCTCCTGCATCAGCCTCCCGAGTGCTGGGATTACAGGCATGTGCCACTGCACCTGGCTGACATCCTTTTTTTAACAGTCACTCTTCACATTGCCACTTGTAAGTCACTGTGTTCATGGTTGTTGCCACCAGCTGTGGTCCCTGCCTCAGCATCCCTGAGCTCCGAGTTTGGCAGAGATGTGAAAGAATTTGCAGGCAGAGCCAGGCCACCTCTGCCCCAGAAGCCCTGGGTGTCTGAGCGAGCTTGAGGCTGGTGTCCCAGGCACCAGACTGCCCCAGAGCTGGCGCAGCGCCTGCACGGCCCGCATGCCGGGCACGGAGAGGTTGGCGCGTCATTCTGGTGGCAGATGGAGATGCTCCTGCTTCCTGAGTCCTCCTGCCCCAGGATCTGTGCAGCTGGTCCCAGCCACCGCCAGGCCACATGCCAGCAGTGCTGTCTCCTCCTGCACAGGCCACGGGAACTTCCCCTACCTGTGTGGGAACCTGAATGACGTGGTGGTCAGCCCGCTGCTGTACACCTGCTACCAGAACTCCCAGTCCGTCTCCAGGGCCTATGAGCAGTACGGCTCCTCCACCGTGCAGCCCATCTCCGAGGAGATGCAGCTCCTTCTCACAGTCTACTACCTCGTCCAGCTGGGTGAGTTCCCATTGGCCGCCAGGTCCAGCTGGTAAGGCTGCATTGGCTGCCAGGTCTAGCTGGTGAGGCCCCATTGGCCACCAGGTCTCGCTGGGTGAGTCCCCATTGGCTGCTATGTCCAGCTGGTGAGGCTGCCATTGGTCAGCAGGTCCAGCTGGGTGAGTCCCCATTGGCTGCCAGGTCCAGCTGGTGAGGCCCAATTGGCCACCAGGACTTGCTGGGTGAGTCCCTATTGGCTGCTATGTCCAGATGGTGAGTCACCATTGGCTACCATCCATGGCACTGATCACAGACCTCACCATGAAGACTAGCTTGGGCAACGGAGGCTGAAACACCAGGGCACAGTCCCAGTCCCTGGGGACAACACGGTCACTGCAGTGCTCACTGCTGCAGTGTCTCAGGCAGGGCTGTGTGTGTGGTGGTGACCTGCAGAGATCTACCTTGCTCTTGTGGGGGCGTGGGGGGTGCAGGGCTGTTGCTGTGGTCCTGAAGGCGGGGGTGGGGAGGAGGGGAGTGGGGTGGGCCTCTCCTTAGATTTGGTCTCCCTGGCTCCTGACTTTCCACTGGTCTCTGAGGATGACGATGTCATTTCATCGGGAAGTGGACGCCCTGTCCTGTTGCTGAGGCTGTGCATTTCTCTGTGTTCCTCTCCCACCTATAAAGGCATTGCTGGGATTTTTCATTCAGGTGAAGTTGAGGAGGTTCTGTCTTCGGGACCTCCAGCCTGGGTGGCCCTTGGGACACCTTGTGTCTTCAAGCAGGCAGGTCTTTCTCGTTTGTGTGTTTGTTCGCTTTGAGATAGGACCTCACTATGTAGTCCC